TGAGAAATAACATTTAAGAAAGCAAATATTAGCAAAAAGTTAGTAATATGTCACTGAAATCAACATCAAGTCTTTTCAACTGAAATTCATTGAAGATAGAAAGGCATGAGGAGATCAAAAGTCAAATTTCTACATATTGTAAAGGGACAAGAGTTCGATTAGAAATTGGATAAAAACCAACAACCGAAAAGAGATTTTCAGTTGAACAGAGTTTTAACAAAAATTAAGCTGAGATGACACACATACTCCACTAAATACATTAACTTATACATATATGTTATTGGTATGGAATCTCAGTCATCATTGCCACTTCCAGAGTACTCATTCCTATGATTGAATTATGATCTTCATGAAGATGTGTAAAACCCGTAGGTCATTTTGTATTGATTTAACATATATATAGTGTACATGGTTACAGTAGGATTACAACAATACCCATACACTAACCCTAATATATACATACACTAACATCCCCTCGCAATCTGAATGGGAGGTAATCGAACATTCAGATTGGTACAAAAATCTGTAAATAAAACATGAGGTAAGCCTTTCGTCATGATATCAGCAAACTGGCGAGAAGAGGGGACATGAAGAACACAGATATCACCCTGGGCCACCTTCTCACGGAGATTCTGAACGGGGTTAGTGGACATGAAAATAGCACTAACATTATCACAGAAAACAACCGTGGCGGTGGACAGAAAAAGAGACAACTCTGAGAGTAAGGAATGCAACTAGCAAAGCTCAGCAACTGCATTGGCAACAGCCCGATACTCAGCCTCAGCACTCGAACAAGAAACAATAGGTTGCCGTTTAGAGGACCAGGAAACAAGATTAGCACCCAGAAAGACACAGTAGCCAGACATGGAACGTCGAGTATCAGGACAACCAGCCCAGTCTGCGTCAGAATAAGCCACAAGCTGATCAAGTGAAGTAGGCTGGAGAGTGAGGCGATAGTGAAGAGTACCCTTCAAGTAGCGAAGAATACGCTTGACGGCCTTATAATGAGGTTCATGAGGCTCGTGCATGAAAAGACAAACTTGTTGCACCGCATAAGCAATGTCAGGACGAGTAAAAGTGATATACTGAAGAGCTCCAACAATGCTGCGGTACTCATAGGGATCGGGAAACAAATCACCATCAGTCTGAGACAACTTACTCTTATTGTCAATAGGTGTATGGGACAAATTCGACGAAGAAAGCTGACAGCGATCTAATAAATTAGCTATATACTTAGATTGGGACAAAAATAGACCATCAGAAGTACGGGTAGCAGAGATACCAAGAAAGTAGTGTAGATCACCCAAGTCAGTCATAACGAATTCCTTTTGTAAAGTAGCAATAATGGATGCTAACAAGGGAGAAGAAGAGGCAGTAAGAATAATATCATCAACATATAACAAAAGAATAGTCATATCTGCACCACGGCGATAAATAAACATAGATGAGTCGGACTTGGAAGAACAGAAACCGTGCGAACCAATATAGGAAGCAAACCGGTGAAACCAGGAACGAGGTGCTTGCTTGAGACCATAAAGAGCACGATTGAGCTTACACACATAGTCTGGATGCTGATGATGAACAAAGCCGGATGGTTGTTTCATGTAGACAGGCTCAGTCAAGAGGCCATGTAGAAATGCATTTTTGACATCAAGCTGATGAATAAGCCAGTTACGCGAAAGAGCCAGAGAGAGGACAGTCCGAATGGTGGCAGGGCGAACCACGGAACTGTAAGTATCACCAGCATCAATACCAGGACGCTGAGAAAACCCCTGAGCAACAAGACGAGCTTTGTAGCGATCCAAGGAACCATGAGACTTTTCTTTAACCCGAAACACCCATTTCGACCCAACCACATTAACATCAGGAGGTTTAGGAATAAGAGTCCAAGTATTGTTGCGAGACAAGGCAGCAATCTCATCATTCATTGCTTGCTGCCATTCATTAAACTTACAAGCCTCGCGATATGTGGTGGGAACCTGCAAAGGAGAGTCAGCAATAGTACTAGCTAAATTGAAAATCACCTTGGGTTTACGAGTGTCATCCCTAGCCCGAGTAACCATAGGATGATGAGAAGGAACATGAGATGAACCTAAGGGAGGAGAAGGAGTTGGAGAAGACAGAGGAGGCTCCGAGCGAGGAGAAACAACTGAAGAGGGAGGTGCCGGAAGAGAGGAAGGAGTTACTAAACGTGGGACAGGCGAAGAGATTGAGGAAAAAGTAGGTGGAGAAAGAGCAGGCAGAATGTGTGACGAAGGCGAACGAAAAGAAGAGTTAGAGGAGGAACTAGACGAAGAAAGGGAAGTGAAAGGGAAGACGTTCTCGTCAAAAACAACATGACGAGAAATGATGACCTTATTAGTAGAAAGATCAAGACAACGATAGCCTTTGTGGTGAGAAGGATAACCCAGAAAAACACACAAAGTAGAACGGGGGGTTAACTTATGATGGGTGGTGTGAGAAAGATTAGGGTAGCATGCACACCCAAAAGTGCGCAAGTGATCATATGATGGAAGCTTGTGGTGAAGAACCTCATAAGGAGTTTTATTCTGCAAGAGGGAAGTAGGAAGACGATTGAGAAGATAGGTGACAATATGAAGAGCTTCAACCCAGAAAAGAGGAGGCATAGAAGCCTGAAATAAAAGAGTTCGAACCATATTGACAATTGTACGATTAAGACGTTCAGCTTTACCATTTTGCTGAGAACAAGCAGTTGTAGACAAGCGGAGGTGAATGCCATTAGTTTGAAAGAACTGCAAAAAAGAATTATTTTCATATTCACCTCCTTGATCACATTGAAAGTTACGAATGACGGCATTATATTGAGTTTGGACATGGGCATAAAGGTTACGGAAACAAGAGAAAACATCAGATTTGGAGCGAAAAGGAAACACCCAAGAATAATGTGTATAATCATTCAAGAAAGTAACAAAATATTTATATCCAGTATGAGAGACAACTGGAGAAACCCACACATCAGAATGAAGAAGCTCAAAAGGCACAGTAGCCCGAGACAAAGACGACTCAAAGGGTAAGCGTACATGTTTCCCTAATTGACAAGCATGACACAAATCTAAAGTAGAACTAGGACAAGAAATAAGAGAAGCATTTATTAAGTTGGCCAAAACACGCTGGCCAGGGTGACCTAATCGACGATGCCAGACTTGAGAAGTGGACCGATGTGCAGCTAAGGCAGGAACCGAAGAGGAGGTAGGGCAATCAACGAAAGGATAGAGAGGTCCAGAACTATTGCACCGAAGAAGTTGCGTCTTTGTTGTGAGATCCTTAACAGAAAAACCAAAGGGGTTAAATTCTACAGAACAATGATTATCAGTAGTGAAACGGCGAACAGAAATTAGATTCGCAGTAAGAGATGGAACATAAAGAACATTATTAAGAGCTAAAGAACGACTAGAAGTGGATATATTGGAAGTACCAAGGGATTCAATAGGAAGCAAAGCACCATTGCCAACACACACTTTATCAGGACCATAATACGGTGATAAATTGGTAAGCTTACTAGAGTCATTCGTCATATTTGCGCCTGCAGCGGAGTCAAAGTGCCATGGAGCAGCAGATTGAGAGGAAGCCGGATATGTAGTAAATGCCGGAGTAGAGTGGCCTGCATTCATAACAACAGAAGGGCATAACCGGGCAACATGGCCATAACCTCGGCAGTTGTAGCATTGGACAGAATGCTGGAATTGAGGAAGTGCAGGCGCGGGACTCCCATAAGGGGGAGGTGCACCACGAATCGAAGAAGCAGGAGGATTCAGACGAAAGCCCGGTTGCTGCCATCCTGCACGACCACCTCCATGACGACCTCCTCCACGACAACCACCTCCATGACAACCACCTCCACGTCGTCCTCCAGATGACGAAGAAGACTGAAAAGGAGCTGCAGCATAGGCATCATGAGAAGGAATAGACGCGACATCGGCGAAGAAACCGGCTGAGCAACAAGGACTTGGGAAGAAGCCGAACCCAATGCGGCTCTCTGATGTTGTTTCGCCAATTTGGCTTCCTCAATCAGAAGCCGCGAACGACACTCATCAAAAGTCGGAAGTGGCTTTTGAGCGGAAATCTGAGAAGTGGCTACATTATACTCAGGACCCAGTCCCATAACAACTTGCATGACAACATCACGAGAGGTTATTGAATCACCGATAGAGACCATAAAATCATACAATTCTTTCAGACGATCTAAGAAAGCAGACATAGAGAGATCACCCTTTTCACAATGATAAAATTCCTGACGAAGATGAACGATTCTAGACTCAACATGATCACGAAAAATCTTTTCAATCTTGTCCCAAGCAGATTGAGCAGTAAGAGAAGTACCCGGAGTGATAATATTGCGCAAAATCTCACGAGAGAGAGTGGCCTGAATCCAAGAGAGCACGAGAGAATCAAGCTGAACCCAAGCTGAACCCATTGATCATAGTCAGGATCACCAAGAGGAGGACAAGGATTGGTACCATCAACAAAGCAAAAAACTTGATGACCTTTAAGAATTGGAATGAAAAGTTCTCGCCAAATCAAGTAATTGGAAGAATCAAGAACCTCGTAGACGTGATTCTTGATGTTGTTCAGGGAGAAAGCTGGATGACGACTCACTGGAGATGACGCACCATAAGGAGCATCAGTAGTAACGCGAGATGAAGTATGAGTCTTCGGATCATGAGGGGCAGTATCACCCTCGCCTTGGGCCATGAGAAGAGAACCGAGGCAGCAACAGAAAGACAGAAAAGAAACAGCCCAACATCGCCGGCTGACGAAACCACAGCAACAGCAACAGCACCGGCGTGAAAGCAGCAGCAGAACAGCAGCAGCAGCAACGGCGGAGAAGAGAAGAACAGCAGCGTGAAAGCAGCAGCAGCAGCAGAACAACAAGCGGCAGCAACAGCAATGCAGCAGCAGAACAGGAATCGGCAGCAGCAGCAAAGCAGCAGTGTGAAGGCAGCGACGGTGAGAAGAACAGCAACGGCAAAATGCAAGAACGACGGAGAAGAACAAGCAGCGTCAAATCGAGAAACTAGCAGCGTCGGTGAGAAGAATGGAACGGCAACGCAACGACAACAACAAGCAGAACAGAGAGAGATAGCAAGCAAGACAGCAACGGCAACGGCAACAGCAACGGCAGCAGCGTCGGCAACGGCAGGACAGAGAGGTTGCCGGAAGAAGAAACTAGGGAAGCCGTCAAAGCAAGAATGGAACGGCGGCTGAAAACCCTAAAAAAAAAAATTACGTCCCAGGAAAGCGGTTGATACCATGAAGATGTGTAAAACCCGTAGGTCATTCTGTATTGAGTTAACATATATATAGTGTACATGGTTACAGTAGGATTACAACAATACCCCTACACTAACCCTAATATATACATACACTAACACTTCAGAGCTGAATGTCCCCATGCTTGCTGTTCTTCCTCAAGAAGTCTCACTAAATTTATAACCACAGTCTCGGGACATCGGGACACTTCAATTTCTTCAAGCTTAGGGATGTACTCTAGACAAGAAGGTATCTCCTCCAAATGTCGACAATGTTCCAATACCAACTTCTGAAGACAAGCAAATTGATCATCGCTAGCTCTCCATGTGACCAAGTCTAGCAATAGTCTGAGTTTTAAAAACTCCCCTTCTTCCACTTCTCATGTTTTCCCCCTGAAGCCAGGATAGAGTAATTTGAGAGTTTCAAGGTTTGGTAGCTTACCGATGGTTGAAAACTTGCTCCAAGGCAAGTAGAAGGACAAGTTTGACAACGTCAATTTCTTCAAATTTGTAGGCAATCTAAACTCACACGTATTTATATATGGAAATCCATAATAACCTGACATATGAAGAGATTCTAGTTGACTCAAAAATTCAGGAACCACAATCCGGTCAAGTGTTTCGATACCATCCTTGTATTAAAAAAGTTTGCATTTCAACTTACGGATGTTGGGAAACTTTGTCATCAGCCGTTCCATGCTGCTGCAGTTAGGAATAATCGCACCAGATAACCCATCCAATTCATTCAAATTAGATGAGCTATCAAGATTTTCTGTGGACAAACTAGCACCAACCCAAGTGTCGGAACTCCTCATGTAAAGAAACTGTAACTTTAGAAAATCCCAGAGACTATCTGGCAGCGAAGCAATGTCTCCACTCGGATCCAAAATGAAAGTTTCTAAATTTGAGAGTTTAGCTATCGAGGATAGGATCTCAGTTAGGTCACCTCGAACTGCCAGAAAGGTCAACTGAACAAACTGTCCTATTTCACTTGGAAGCCCTTTGTGAAGAGGTATTTGCTCCAAAACCAATATTTTGAGGAGTTTGAAGATGCGAATAACAAATGAAATATCTAGGCGCAAGTCGTTGTCTTGGAAGTTCCACTTTGTTCCATATGGAGAGTTGAAAAGTAGAGAGCGTGCACGAGGACAAAATAGCATAGACTCTTTCAAATGGCTTGGCTCAAAGTGAATGTATAACCTCTGAAGGTTGGGGGGTGACGAAGCATGAATCTGCACCGACGTCTCAAGTTGATTGAATCGGCGGCCATGGCGGTATCAAAATCCTGAAACCTGCAAAAGAAGGCTCCGAGGTCTTCCGAGGGTAGACACTCCGATACTTAAGTCAGTAAGAGTAATTGTAATAGGGTATGAATTGTGGTGCGTAAAGCGTACCTTTGATGTGAGGGGTTGCTCCCTATATATGGAGTTAGGGTTACCTGTTTGTGAAACGCTTTTCTTAGTAGGAACGCAATTGCCAACCACCCTAGAAGCTTCTAGGGGCCGGTTGGATAACTCACCGAACTTGGACTGGCTTAGTCGCGGACCGTACTAATTTGGACTCGTCAAGTGCCCCTTATCAAGCCTATACTTCGAGGTCTGAAGATAGGGTAAGCTTGATAACATGAAATATAAATTTTCCTCAAGTTCGTGAGAAACTAACTTGAATCGAGAACCTGCGACAGGTTAGCATCAAAAAGAAATCAAAGAAATGAAAGCATTAGCACGTACCTTGTCGAATGTACGCGTCACAAAGGGCAATTGACATTTACGCCAATTTGTAAAGAAAGAGGAGTCATCAGTTCAAACTTTCGAGTGAGAAGTCGATAGGTGATGATCTTAATAATCTGCTCCATGGAGATACTAAAGCAGATGTCTCGTTAAGAAAATCGAGAAGGAAACGTAGTGGAGATTCACACTAGTCTTAAAATTTGTGTCATTAACTGCGACTAAGATATATCAACTGTTGAAACGAGGAGTCCACTAAGGAACGATGTGATTGGAAGGGGTTGGGGTTGGTTGCATTGACGTTGTAGTTAATCTGAACCCATATAACTGCAGAAAATTCACAATCTAACTGTATATTGCTTTTCGGTTGAGAAGACCGAAGATCTGTATCAAGCTAATTCTTAATGGAAAAGTTCTAATTAGTTTCAAGGAGCCAAAGATGACATCACATATATATATATATATATATATATATATATTTGAGGCCGCACCTAATAGTGTTTTGGAGGTACCTAGGCTATTACAACCAGGCTAGAGCCTACTGGAGAAAGGAGGAGACTCCACTCGCATGCGCCTTTTGCTCGACATGTCCGGTCTTCCGTGGTCGATGAAGGCAGGCCTCCTACTTGCTTAAGCTGGCTGCTGGTCAACTACCTGCTTCCTCCTAAGCTGTCTGCTTCCCGCGTTCGTGGTAGGAATCGAACCTTCAATCTCGCAGTTAAATGTACAACGCCTTAATCACTCAGGCACAACTCGATTCCTGATGAGATCATATTGTTCTTAAAATGAATGTCACAGAATCACATATTGTTCTACTGATAATATCAAAAGTTCCACAATGCACTTTCCATAGGGAGGTTCAGAAGCAGGTAGAATAGCAAAGAATATTTTGAAGGCAATAATGATTTCAACAAAGAGAAGCTGGTATGGCTGAATCGAACCCAACTGACGAGTGATGATTAATAACCCTGATTTTTCTGAAAATAAGAGAGTTATAGCCACATCTTTGAAATCTAAACCATTACAAGTTTTCCACCATTACCAAAAAGAAAAGAAAAAAAAAAAAAAGGCAAAAAATTGAAGCAATGTGCCTACTTGGGCACCAAAAGCATTATGGACATTTCACTAGCAAAAGTCACCTCAACGAACTTAGCAGCGACCTAATGAGAAGGATAATTAACGGAATCCATTCACGTAATCCTTTTTCATATGTGTGGGTAGACTAAAGAACAAATCAACATCTATAGGGTCTTTAGACATAGCTTTAGCAACTTTGTAAAGATCTCCACCCTTAAGGCCAAGGCCAATAAGCTCATTGACCAGTCTATACATTCTTTCGGATGCCATTTGTGCACGTTTGTCGTCGTTGTTTATAGCAGCAGCCATAGCCCCAAGATGAGACGTCAAACCCTCCATAAATGTTTCCAATTTTCCAACAAGATCCTTAAAGTCCGACCCAATACTTTGTTCAGGTGTAGCCTCTTTTTGTTTCTTCTGAGGTTTAGTGATGACAATGTCTACGGGTCTCTTTGATTTCGTACCACTCATGTTGGTTGTTGAAGTGGTAGTTGGTGTTTTGTGCACATTTAACTCTTCGTTGACATCAGGTTCACTGTCACTGGATGAAGAAATAGCACGAGAACATCCGTGATCTCCACTCTCCACATCATGAATGTTCTTCATGTTTTGTTCAGCATCTCCTGGTGCTTCTAATGCATACACTGGTACTTCATCAATAGCATCTAATTCCCTATCGCTAGTACCATAAACGATGTCCAAATCACGCAAGTAAGGGAATTGAAAATTCCACAGCCCCTTTGCTTCTTTGTGCTTCTAAATATGAGTAAACCATACAAAAAAAAAAAAAAAGAAAAAACATAAATAAAATAAAATGAGTACACTCAAATTTAAATGGATTATTCAAGTCCAAACTCCAAATAAAACAGCCCACATTATGTGATAATAACACCTACACCAGAATCATGTTAATTTTTTTCACCCAAACTATAGATTCTACACCAAATGCAGAGGAGTTTGAAATGACCATCAATGGTTACACACTTGTATATAGATCACATGGTGATGTTAAGATGAACTAAAGTCGCAGAGTATAACTCTTATATCCTTCAACTTTAACATATAGAACAAAATCATTCTAGTAATGTAAATTGCATTTCTAGGTTTAGGGAAGCAAAACATACTAGAAAACAGTATGGAGATTATGAAATTTGAATGTGTAGATAAAGCAATCCAGTTCAGCAATTTGTGAGGATAATTTAGCGGCAATCAAATGAATATTAATGCAGGAAAAGTAACAGATTCAAAACAAAATTTACCTTACACCAATTCTCGTACCATTGCTGATCACAATCAATTTTGTGTTCAACGTCATTCCATGAGCAACCACTTTCCTTACACATCTTCGTAATTACATGATATCTGTTTTTCAACCACCTGATCTTCGACTCAAGATGCGGAGAAATTTTTTTTGAGAAGGATGGGATTTTATCCAATATGATTTTGTGAAGCTCCAACATGTAGTTATTCTTGAAACTTCCTCCATCAGTCTTCCATGTATTTGAAGTATCAGATGCCAGTTTTTGTAATGCTTCAATTAAAGCTTTAGTCTCATCAGTTGTCCAGAACTGCTTATTTTTCCCTCGTCCACGGATTATCTCCTCAGTCTCCATCCTATAATAAAAATGCCAAAAAACTTGGAGATAAATATCAACCAAAAAAGAAAAGAGAGAGAGAACCGAAAATTTTAAAATTCAAGAAACACATATTCGTAAGGAAAAAGGCAACTAATTCAACATTTAGAATAAAAATAAATAAATAAATAAAAAATATAAAATGTCGATTCGGACGAAAATCGACACCAATATGCTACTCAACCAGGCAAATTTTTAGTTTTCCAACTCCAACTTTTCAACATTTCACTTGCTCAATTGTTACTAATAGTGACTCATTCATCATGAGCAGCATTGGTCGTTTATGTATTCAACTTCACAAACATTACCACTTTCCCAATCTTTACTCTCACCGCTTCATTTGCTATCAATTCTTATGTATCCAAACTCATGAAGTTTCCAATCAGATAGAAAAACAGCAGACAACATTTGTCAGTAATTGAATCCGAATTCCAAAAGGGGAGGGAATAAATTTTAATCTTCCACTAAGCACGAAGAAACATTTTTTTTGCAAGTTGAAAGATGTTTTTAGCAAGTTAAAAACATTCCTAATCTTTTTAGTAAGCTAGAACAGTTCTCAACATCATTCCTAACTAAAGAACTCTTCATATAGAAACACTCTTCTGTTGTTGCAGGACATAAGCATAAAACCCAATGAGATGGTCTTTTGCCCTGTATAAGGAGCAATAGATCCATCTGCATTACAATATCCACCATCAGCGAAGTAGCAATAACCCTTAAGTTAAACCATATAATTAAATTTAACAGAGGAAAAACCCAAAATTTCAAATTACCACAAGCAGACAATAATAATGCAGGGGATGGGAAGCCGATGAGGCTGCATATTGGAACATGTGAAAGTCTAGTGTTAAGAACCACTTGATTCGTTTTGGACAGAAAAATTGAACCCTATTGATGCAAAGTCCTACTTGATAAGAATTTGACGTAGTACTCTCATAGGGAGTAGACAAGTAAAATCCAATTCCAAATGCCATTTGGTTAGTCTACGGACAGAAAAATTAAACCCTATTCACGCAAGAGTCCAATTGGTATAAGAATTTGAAGCAGTAATCCAGTAGGGAGAGTAGGCAAGAGTAAAAATTCAATCCCAATTAAGATTTTTCCCATTTTAATATTTAGTATTTTAATTGAAATTTCCTGTTACAGTAAAATTGAAATTTCCTGTTACAGTGACTCGGAATAACCGTTGGAATTAGGGGTTAAAATACATATGTTCCTCGGAATCTCTATAATTACAAGGGGCCTGTAGGCTGTAGCATCACATTATTCATTCAATCGACTAGTAAGTATCCATCATTCTGTTCATAAAATTATTTCTGCTTCCGCTCCCTTCCGATATCTGGCCATTGACATTATTTTTAACATATTACTTTTGCACCATCACTCGCTGCGCCAAATACACAGTTACTTATGATTATAGGCTAGATGAGTATCATGACAAAGGGTGGTGGACTCTGGAACAACACTGAAGAAGAGAGTTTGAAGGGGGTCATTACAAAATGTGGTACAAATAAATGGTGATGTGCCTCTGCTATGCTCATTTGCAAATCGGCAAAGCAGTGGAAAGCACGTTGGAATGAATAGCTTCATTACTTCAGTAAAACGACAAATTCATGGACGGGAGCGGAGGATGGAAAAACTACCGCATGCAAATAAACTCCTGCTAATCACAGTGGATCGATTCAATCGTGGGTCGTACCCAATCTAAATGTATTCAATGGCACGAGAAGCTCCGGGATGTCAATGGCACGAGAAGTTACGGGAGACACACACACAGACACACACACACACACACACACTGCTCATTCAGACCCCATGGATGCGGATGATTGTGAGGAGGAGATGCTTTCAGATGCAGTAGCTTGATTAACCACCACCAGAGGTTAAAAGGCTAACAGGAAGGCAAAGAGAAGCAGATTGAAGAAGCCTGAAAGCTTGCCTTAGAGCAAAAAGAGAGATCACTAAAGGCTGCTGGACATTTTCAGCAGCATAGAAGAGAAGAGGAATGAAATTATGCTGCAACCCCCATGGAAAGAAGCCTCCCAAGCACTATTATCGTGAATTTGTTCCTCCTTGCATCTTTATCGACATCAATGTTTGAACGTTGAATTTCAACAATATACTTCATATTAGATTTAAAAAAAGGCACAAAATTCAAACAAAACTCAATGGCTTGGCTAATAAAATAAATAAATCATGTCGTTAAGCATAAGACCAAAGAGGTCAAAGGCAGTAACACCTCACATGTTTAGTTTCAATAAAAGTCGTTGCTCTGTTATGTAGTCTGGTCGCAGGTTTCAATTTTTGTGAAATTATTGAAGTACGCAGGGTTGAAGTAGACCAAGTTCATAGGTTAGCATATAACAAGATGAATTGTAATAGGTTACGTACTTCTTATAATATAAAAGTAGGTACTTTATTATTATTAATAAAAAAAAAATTAGTAGCTCTATATCCAAGTTATATCAAGGATAGAGCAAGATTAAGTTGGCACCTAACCAGCACAGTGTTGCAGAAAATAGCTAGCAATACAGGGTCCTCGAAAACAGTAGGTTGGACCTGCTTATTGGTGTAAAACAGGGAAAAAGAGAATCCAGGGCAAAGGATAGTACTCGTTCTGTATTTTAGTTTGATAAGACTCAATAACTTGATTAATAACTATGAATCTTGATAAACGAAAAAGCAGTGAAACATTTTTGTGTATTATCTCCATGACCTTCTTTCGATATGAAGGTCCTTAGAAAACGAACCAAACTGCCATGGATCTAAATACCATATTATTGAAGATTGAGGAAGTTCAGCCAAGGAACTGCTGTGATATGAGAAGTTAAAACCTACTAATCTCTAGTCACTACTATGCTTGTCTACACTCTACAATAACAGTAAATTGTAATCTTTTTTCCTACGCTAGGTTCAATCAAGATGAAAATGAGGGCATTTGCTATATCTTAACCGTCTGTTCAGTGAAGAAATTATGTGTCCAACAATAGTACAAACACCAGTTGAAAGTGACTTGACCATATATACTTCTGTATGCAGCATTATGCAGTAAAAATTATGGCCTTAAACTGGTTAAATGCAAAACTTTGGCATACAGTACATGGAAACAGGTACAAATATGTTTGCAACCAAAAGATCGTGAATCCAAGATAAAAATAAAGAATGACAAGCATCTTTACTTCACGTGAGAAAAGAACATGCGCATATGCTATGTATTACTGTTCTCCAAAGGAAAACTTAATCAAAGTCAGTATTCAATACAAGAGAAAGAAATATTACCGGCCGGTTTCGTCCCCAAGCAACGCTGCCGGTCAATATTTAGGACGATAGCAGCAGCAAAGCTATCCTTTATATAATTAGCAATAGCTCGTGTGGAGAAATCTGAAACAAACAGTAAAAGTGTAAGCATTAAAGGATGTTGGTGGACAAACACAAAAGGTGTTATTTTTATAGAAGAATTTTGATGAAGAGGCAATAAAGTTTTATCTTCTACGATATCTATGTGTCAACCCTAAAAAAAAAAAAAAATGTAGTTCATCAATAAGAACCCACCAACAACGGGTATGGAATACAATAATGTCATTCAATCTTCTCACAATTGATGTTCTTAAAGCGAGGATAAATGAAAACTTCAGAAAAGCCAGCAGAAACCACCGTAGAAATGGAAAAATAAATAATCAGAACTCCTTAAAGAAACAGAACATACAGCGGAATTCGGATCCAATGGAATGTAAAGCAGCTTATCTCACAAAGTATCAACTTCATCAGCAAAAGCAATCAAACATATTGATCAAAAGTTTCTAAACAAGGGCAAAGCAAAGCAACTCTAGTATTTCACCAAATTTCAAGCACACTCCAATGGAAGTAATACACAACATTCCCCTACCATTCAGGTCCATGGATGAGAAAATTCACCAAAGAAACAAATTAATAGCATTCTATGATCACTCAAAAAAGAAAAGAACAAAAAAAAACCAACATCAACCCACCAAACGTCGTAAAAAAATCCACGGTAAGAAGAACACAAAATCCTTAGAATCAGACACTACTAATATGCCTTCTCAATAATTTGAAAAGTAATGGGTAAAAGTAAACAGAATGCAGAATTAACATGTAAAAAAGCCCAGAGATTGGAAGTTACCCGCAAATAACAGACAGAGGGACTAAGAATCCAAGATTTGGTGACGAAGGAGACGGAACCCCAAAAAATAAAAAATAAAAATAGTTCAAAAATTCCAATTTCCCTCTTACTTTTTCCCTTCCTCCGTCGTCGATATTTGGCGGAACTTAGACATGTTTAATCGGCATCTGCAATCCTGGGAAGATAGAATTTCGAGGAAAGCCTGAAACTGGAAGGGGAGCTCAAAAAAATTAAAACGTTCCTTTTGGTCTGGGGATTTAGGAAACAAGAGATGAAGTCGATGACAGTGTGTACTCGAACCATTTTACTTATCCTAAATTTAAATCTATTTATTAACCCTCGGATCTTTATTATAATAAGACATTTTAATTTATTCTAAATTTTACTTAATATATTTCTTTATTAAAAATCTTTTAAAAATGTATTTTTGATATAAAAATATTACTAAACTAGCGATATGAATATAAGCATAAGAACAAGAGAGAGATAAGAGAGTAGAGAGACATAAGATTTGTATTCAAATATGTTTCTGAAGTATGAATGAACTCCCTATTTATATAAGAGGTTGGGAACTAAACTATGTGAACCAAATAACTTTATTATTAATGTTAAATATTACAGAATCGTATCTCTCTAATTGTGAATAAAATAATACACATTAATGAGACATTCAACCAAATTGGCATATAATTTCATAACACTCCTCCGTTTGAATGTCCATCTTTGCGGAACAATGCCTCATTAAAACCTTACTAGGAAAAACCCGTTGGGATAAAACCCTAGCGAAGGAAAAAGAGTACATGTCCGAATATGACACTGTCTCGTTAAAAACTTTCCCAAGAAAAACCCATTTGGATAAAAACTTGGTCAAGAGAAAAAGAGTACAATGCATATTACTCCCCTTTTGAATACATCACTTGATATCTTTCAACCGTCGCATTCCAATGTTGTGCACCAATTTTCTCAAAAACTGATTGTGGGTAATAACTTTGTGAATAAATCTGTCAAATTATCACTTGAACGAATTTGCTGAGCATTAATTTCACCTTTCTTATGGAAATCATTAGTAAAGAAAAATTTTGGTGAAATATGTTTCGTTCTATCACTTTTGATATATCCTTCCTTCAACTGATCAATGCATGCAGTGTTATTTTCAAACAAAATAGTAGGAATCTCCTTATCCAATTTTAGGCTGCATGATCCTCGGATGTGGTGAGTAATAGATCTTAACCAAACACACTCTCGACTTACCTCATGAATTGCCAAGAGTTCAGCATGGTTGGTAGAAGTTGCAACTAGAGTCTGCTTCATAGAGCGCCACGAAATAGTTGTTCCTCCACATGTAAAAACATAACTCGTTTGGGATCGACCATTATGAGGATCGGATAAATACCCAGCATCAGCATAACCTGCTAAATCAGATTTTGATGTTTTAGAGTAACACCATTCCAATGTCTTCAAGTAGGTGAAGAACTGTATCTAGCCAATAAATTCACAGCAAAACATATATCAGGTCTTGTATGACTAGCAAGATACATTAATGCCCGAATAGCACTAAGATATGGTATTTCTGGACTAAATAGTTCTTCATCTTTTTCACGAGGCCTAAAATGATCTTTTTCCTTATCAAGAGTTCTCACAACCATTAGTGTGCTTAAAGGATGTGCTTTGTCCATATAGAAACATTGAAGAACTTTAGCAGTATAAGTTGATTGATGTAGAAAGATACCATTGTCTAAATGCTCAATTTGCAAACCAACACAAAACTTTGTCCTTCCAAGCTCTTTCATCTCAAATTCTTGCTTGAAACAATTTGCAGCTTTATCAAGCTCTTCAGGAGTCCCAATAATATTCAAATCATCTATATATACTTCACTAATTACAAAAGCTGATCCACTTTTTTTAATGAAAACACATGAACATATAGGATCATTCATGTAACCTTCCTTGATCAAATATTCTCCAAGATGGTTGTACCACATTCGCCCCGCTTGCTTTAAGCCGAACAAAGATTTACATAATTTGATAGAGTAAAGTTCTCGAGAACCAGGATCCAATCCTTTAGGCATCTGAAATCCTTCAGGGATTTTCATGTAAATCTCATTATCAAGTGAGCCATATAAATAGGCAGTCACAACATCCATAAGATGCATTTCTAATTTCTCACTTGTTGCCAGATGTAGTAAATAAAGAAAAGTTGTTACATCCACCACAGGAGAATATGTCTCTTCATAATCAATACCCGGCCCTTTGAGAAAATTCTTGTGCGACAAGACGGCCTTTATATCGCTCAATCTTATCCTTTTCATTTCTTTTCCGCACAAATACCCATTTAAATCCCACTGATTGCACATCTTCTGGTGTGCGCATAACAGGTCTAAAAACTTTATGTTTTGCCAGTGAATTCAGTTCTGCTTGAATTGCGTCTTTCCATTTTGGCCAATCATTTCTACGTCTGCATTCATCTACAAACTTTGGTTCATGATCCTCATTTTCATTCATGATACTAACTGCTGCAGCAAAGGCAAAATTATCGTTGACTTCTAACTTAGATCGGTTCCATTTTTCTCTCATCACAACATAATTAATTGAGATCTCGTGATTATCAATTGTTTCAGGTGCTTGGACTTCTTCTGGAAGATCATCAACTATCATATCCTTATCCTTCATTATGGGAGATTCTTCAGGAATTCCAATTACCTCGATTTTGCCATCTTAATTAATTGCTCCTTTATGTTTACGAGGATTTTTATCTTTGGAACTAATAGGTCTACCACATTTTTGTTGTGCCTTTATCTCATTACTTATGGTAGAAGATCCTTCAGGGACATCAATTTGAATAAGAGCATTAACAGCTGGTATATGTGACTTAGTCACACGTTTTGGGTCAGAAAAAATATCTGGCAATTGATTAGCTAAACATTGCAAATGAATACTTCAAGTTCAGATTGCCTTGTACGAGGATCAAGATGAAATAATGATAATTCATTCCAACTTATATTCTGAACCAGCTGTTTATTTTCTCCCCCTAATGTTGGAAAGACTGACTCGTCAAATTGACAATCAGCAAAACGAACAGTGAATAAATCTCCAGTTTTGGGCTCAAGATATCTGATAATCGATGGAGATTCATAACCAACATATATACCAAATCTCCTTTGAGGCCCCATCTTGGTGCATTGTGGTGGAGCAATTGCAACATATACGGCACATCCAAAACTTCTTAGATGGGAAATATTTGGTTCCTGACCAAAAACCAATTGTTGGAGAGAATATTCATGATAATTTATTGGCCTTACGCGAATTAATGCAGCGGCATGTAAGACCGTGTGACCCCAAGCATGTATTGGAAGTTTAGTTCTCATGTAATCAATTGAATGCGTTTGATAAACGATTCTACCAAACCGTTTTGTGTATGAACATGAGCTACAAGATGTTCACTTTTATCCCAATAGATATACAATAATCATTAAAAGATTGAGATGTAAATTCACCAGCATTGTCAAGACGTATTGTCTTAATAGGGTTATTCGGGAAATGTGCCCATAATCAAATTAATTCCCCAAGTAATTTTTTCACAAATGCCAAATTGCGAGTTGATGATAAACATACATGTGACCATCTTGTTGATGCATCAATTAAAACCATTAAATATCGAAATGGTCCACATAGTGGGTGAATTGGCCCACAAATATCACCATGTATGCACTCTAAAAATTTAGGGGATTCATTTTTAATCTTCACTTGTGATGGCCTTATAATTAATTCCTTGAGAACATGATGCACATGAGAATTCATTTGTTTGAAGAATCTTTTGACTTTTAAAGGAATGGTCATATGAATTCTCTACAATTTTTCGCATCATAATAGAACCGGGATGGCCTAACCGGTCATGCCAAATAATAAAATCACCATAATTAGTAATTTTCCGGTTTACAGTTGCATAACTTTTAATTGTAGTTTTCTTCGTGTGATATATTCCAAAGGAACAAGAAGGTAGTTTTTCATATATAACTTTGTTCCCAGAAACATTACTTGTAATACACAAGTACTCAATACTACCTTCATTATAAGTCTTGATGTGATATCTATTTCTGCGAATATCTTTAAAACTTAATAAATTTCTCTGAGACTTCGGAGAATATAATGCATCATTAATGCAAAATTTTGTACCTCCTGGAATAACTATATTGGCTCTTCCGGAGCCTTCAATCAATTTTATAGTACTGGCTATAATACTACCATGAGAATTTTTCATTATGAAAGAACAAAAATATTTTCGGTCTCTAAATATAGAATGAGTGGTTGTACTCTCAGCCAGTCATAATTTTTTCTCATCCATGATATTTTTCATTGCACATTTATCCCTGGACATTCCCAGGATCACTTGCACCTTCTGGGTGCTGCTAGTGAAACTGCAAAAAATCATAAATAAATTTAAATACAAACTTTAGGACCTATTCTATAGAAGTTCAAAATTCAGAGACTGAATTAGACAAATTTAAAACTTTTGGGTAAAAATATAGATTATGAAAAACTACACCAATGTTTTTTTTTTTTTTCAAAGGTTTACATACTGAACTTTACCGGGGGAAAAAAAAAAAAAACTTGAGCCCAAACTGAAACCGAACCAAGCTGACAAAATTCAAGCAAAAATTATGATTCCCAAAATATGATTCCCAAATTGTGATTCCCAAAAATTAACTATAGAAGCAAGCTTATAAAACACGCCCCGTTGTTATGATGCAAATACATACTCCAATGCCAACATAATTATGAAATAAAGAAAATGCTTATAACAAGTAAAAAAAAAAAAACGATTAAATGCTCAGTACATGCTAATCATTATTTTTTCAGTACTATCATGCAATGAGCAAATAAGCATTAATGCACAATAAAGCAAATTTACGCTACACAGGAAAAACTATATATGAACATGCATCTTCGTTCAACGAAATTTTAGGCAACAAAAACCAACGCATAAAAACCATGGTTAAACATGACAATTAGCGAACCAAATCTTAGGCAAATAATGGATCTCTGTTTTTATGTATATTAGGAACATGGTTTTGTAGAGTATAAAAACCAACACAAACACGGGCACAAATAGAAAACACTAATGTTGTCACATGGGCAAGACATTGGACGTTATCACAATGGGCACACTAGTGCTTGTAGTTTCCTAACCCAGGAGCATACTGCTAATATCATGCTAAAAAAAAAGAAAAAACATTAACGAGGCACTCATACCAATAATAAACATAACAACCGCACAAAGCAATATAATTCGGCAAA